TTGTGTATGAGATATGAAGGTCTAAGTCCCAATAAAGATGACCCAATTCAAGCTGGCCAGAGCTCTAAATTACAAACTTGGTTTAGGAGACAAATAAAAGGTGAAGATTCCCATAATAGACAAGCACATAGATTGCATGCTTGTAGATACATGGATGAGATCTTAGTTACTTTCAGAACCTGAGGATTTGGTGCTAGAAATAAGGGAGAGTGTATATGGCTATCTTAGAGAATCTCTCTCTCTAGAGGTGGTGGAACAAGGTGAGTCACCTCTAATCAAACCCACATCGGGAGCTCGGTTTCTAGGCATGTTTATTCGAGCTAGTGCTAGAGAGGAAATCAGTAGTGCAGTGAGGGTGGTGCAAAAGCTTAAGGATAAAATGCAGTTGTTTGCATCTCAAAAGGAGGTCTACTGGGAAGCCATGATAGCGAGAATCGGGAAGAAATTTGTGGGCCGGTGCTTAAAGAATATCAAAGAGGAAAAGTTAGAGAGAGAGGAGAACATGAGCATGGTGTTGATGAATAGGATCTCGGAGTTTCGGAGGCCAAGAATGGAACCGGAGCATTGGTTTAGGCACTTGTTGAAGATTTGGATACAAGACTTGGGTACTCAAGTGAAAAGAAATGAGGAAGAAACACTTGCTAAACATATTGTCGAGCCAGACCTTCCTTTAGAGCTTGTAAATTCTTTCTACAACTTCCAACAAAAGGCCAAGGAGTACATCTCATCTGAATCCCTCTCTACCCGTTCACTCCTTGAGAGCCACTCTCTTTCCTCACCAACCATGACCACTAAACTAGAGGCACCCATCCGCGTTCTAAAAAAGAGCCTGATGCTCTATGGCTTGATTGATACAGAGGGAAACCCACGACATATTTCTATGCTTATCTTACAGGATGACCTCCAAATTATAAATTGGTTCTGTGGATTAGTTTGTAGGTGGAAGTACTGGTTCAGAGAATGCGATAACTTTGAGAACGTGAGACTAATGATCGTTGAATGTGTGAGAAAATCTTGTGTCCGATCTTTTTCCACTAAGCATCATGTATCAGAAGCCGTTATCTAGAGGCGATATGAATCGGAACTTAGTAATATCCCATTGAGGGGACAGATGGAGTTTTTTTCTCTCTCTAAAGACAAGGAGAAGATGACAAATGGAAGGGATTCTTTATCTTTCTCCTCTGATGATGAGATGATGTTATATGGCAGTGCTTATGCTGGGCTTTTTGTTCTCTCTCTAGTACAAGTGAAGAGACCCTCTGCTCTGCGAGTTTGTCGAGTCCTGTGTTGTTCAGTCCCTGCTTCGAGTATATATTTGATGCATGTGCTTGAGAAGAGGAAACATCCAGGTTGGAAAACTGGTTTTTCTTCATGGATTCCTCCTGCGTTGAATAGAAAGAGGATACCATTATGTCAGCAACATGTTAAGGATTTGTATATGGGTGATATTTCTCTTCAGGTTGTGGACTTTTCTCCATCTTAATGGGTAGCCTGTGAAATATAGTGCGTCTAGTTCTAAGAATGTTTGTGAATCTATAGTCTGATGTTAATGAAAATAGTGATTTAACTATAAATGCACGTAGCTGATTGTGGTTTGTTGATAAAAGAGGATAAGGAGGATAGTAGGATGTCCTGTCTTCAATTTTTCATGAGGGCTTTAATGGTGAAGATAATGATGGTGCAAAGAATTTGCTTTGGGAGATTCATTGCAAGAAGAGAGAAGTCGATTTGGTTCATTTGAAGAGAGAGGAAACAATAGTTGTGAAGAAAATGTTACCTCCATCAAACCGAAGTTAGTCAGGATTTGGAGTCTGATGACATTGTGATGCAACAAGAAGCTAAGGAGGTAACAGTTTGATCATTCCTGTCATTTTCGTTTTTGGAGATATGTTCACCTATCATTTTCATCAGAGCCTTTTCCCATCTATTTGGAGTCGGCTACACAAATCTTTGTCCGCCGTTCTATTTTGTCTTGGTCCGCCATTTTGCTCTATCAAGGTATGTTCTCTACATTCTATACAAACTTTCATCTACATTCTTCCATTATAATATGCTTGTAAACTTTAAATTAAAAGGGAAAAAAATTCTTGCTACGTGCCTCGTGACTCATTCATTCGAATGCAATAATATCACAGCGTTCAATTAAAGAAGAAATCCCAACTGTGGAATGTGCTTGTGATCAAATTAAAGTTGAAAGTAGTGATAAAGAAGATGCATTCCCAACCTTCAACGGTAAGGTTGAGAATGGAAGCATACCTTGATTTTGAATCTCAAAGGGACATGTGGTTAGTGAGAGACTCTAGAACAATGGTAGTGGAGAAGAACATCAGGCCAAAGAGGCTTCTCGAGTGAGAGAAAGCTTGAAGGAGGAGAAGGTGCAACAACCTAGTCTTGTGCATCATTCTCATGGTCGGGGCATTTTTTATAGAAAGAGCTAATGATCCAATTGATCTGACTGGTTCAGTGTCCAGTCAAATACCTTACTTGGGACCTATCCTATATTCAGGAATTATCTCTCTAATATCAAATAGTGCCTATCCTATATTCAGGAACCATCTTTCTAATATCAGATAGTAGCATGACTAGCACTTGTTCCTCTGCTTTTTCCATGTGAGTGAACACTGGCTTCTTTTATTGCAGCATTTGTAGAGCTATATATGCGCACATGTTTGGTATCTATTTCATATGATGTGTATGTGTAGATATGATTCCTGGTGTTCGACACGGCTGGATTATTTGAACGTTAAAAAGTAGGATTCGGTGACACAACAATATACATCTACATACACGCATACGTGCCCACGCACACGTGCATACACACACACACACGAATGCATGCACACACACACACATGCACACACATACAAACACACATGAAAAAGATCGTATGAGCCTACAGTCCTATGGATTAGTATGGACCCCAATGCTCTGATTGAAGCTCACATAAAGGAATGGCAAAGCGTTGCATGTTAGAACTCTTTTTCTTTTGCCCCTTGAAAAAAGGTCTAATGGACCCCCTAATTTCACCTATCTGTATGTTCTGTATAGGCACCCCAATTAGAAGAAATGGATACGTACAAAAAAATGCTGCCCAAGATGTGCCCCCCATTTTTGTGAATGTAGACTGTCCAGATCGCTTCCTCTCATTAATCTGGCCATTTAGGCTATACTTTTTTGTAGACCGGTTACCTAGTAGAATCTCTCTCTCTCTCT